AGTTACACACAAATAACCACCTGTTAATCACTTTTTTAGCAGGAGTTTGCATGAATAGGCATAGTGATCGGTGTTGTTATAATGGCGTTGATGTACTAGGTTAGTAAAATGTGCACAACCAACAGTATCTAAGACTTTCGCTAAAATTACTAAGCACAAGTGTGAAAGCGAAAGATTGAAGCAGTGTATTGATGCTGTGACACGGTAGATTCAAAAGGCCGAAGAGGCGTTAGATAGAGACAAGTTGATTTAAAAATCACGTTTAACAACTATAGTGAGTTGCGATTCAGTGGTACACCCTTGATAAACTGTCCGATGAGCACTACTCTCTGGGGTGACTGCTGAAGCACAAATGCTGCAGTGCATGACAGAGTGTGTGTGTGTGTGTGGTCAGTTAATGTGCGTTTTCAGTTGTAAAGTGTGGACAGAGGGCTGTTCAGAAATGCTAGATAAAAATGCCAGTGTGGACGTTTATCGTTTTCATTTGAAATGCTCTTTTAAAACTAAGACGTATCAGTGTAAATGGGGTTTGAGTGTGTATTTTTTGTTAGCGGGTTGCTGCTGCGACTCGGGCAGGGCGGGGGATCGCGATGCCAGCTAAGCATCGTGATGGCTATCGGCCATCAGCAATGGACGACGGCATCGTTTATCAACTCAACCCTAATAGATACTGAAACGATATATTGTGCAGCCCCACTAAGAACCCTTTAGAAGATTTGGATGTGTATGCTAAATGTAAAGAGATGTGGTGATCTAGTTTTAAACTGACAGAGTGTGTTTGCCTGAAACTAGATTAAAGACACATCTCTTTATCGAGCTCATTTATGAGAGGCTTATTTTCAGAACCACTAGGAATTTACATATCCAATTATTTGGATTGATTATTATTACTGTTTACTAATTTGTGCTTAGTTTGTGCTATTTGTAGAATTTTCTTATGGTGACTTCTGCTGGTTGTGATTTCATGAAAACTGTATTATAAAAGCCAGACAGGTGTGTGTCCTCAGGGCAGAAGTGTGAAAGGAGATCTTTTTTTCTAACTTGAGCCTCCATATCGGTCAACCATGCTTGGTTTCCTTTCACTGTGTTGATTCTGCTGTATGGCGCCATACAGTATGGCTCATGTTTCAGTTAAGCAGCATTTCATGAACTTACCGTTTACTGTCAGCGTGAATGCTCAACAAACTGACAGCTCGTTTGCTGGATATAGCTTTTACTGATAAATTATCAGTTGTCAGCCCAGAGGTTTAATCTGAGTAGCTGATACCACACCTTTACTCAGAGCCGCTTCATTGTCTGACACACAAACTGATGTGCGGGCTGATTTGATAGACAGTTATTAAAGGAGGTTATGTTTCATTGAGCTCTTGAAATGCTGCGTGTGAATGAGAGGCACAGAACTGAATGGAGAGCTGTGCAGTGGTGCAGGTAAGACTAATGCAGCTCTGTGATTGCAGGATTTTATTTAGAGATATTTTGAGTTTAAGTGTGTGGTACATTTAAATTGCACAAATGAGTAGTTAGAAGTAATTCTAGTCGAAGGTAAAAGTTGGTTTTGTTTGTTGTTAATAGCTCCATGACAAAAATTTCTGAAAGTTTTATTTTATGAAGTAATTAAAAATTGGGATATAATTATACTTTGATAAAGTATTGATAAAAGCACAATTTTACTCTTTGCCCGCAAGATAAATAAAGTATTTTACTATTTATACTTACATGCTATTATTTATAAATATGTCAAATAAAAATATATATCAATGACCTGTTGTATTAAGTAATTAAATTAAATTAAATTAAATTAAATTAAATTAAATTAAATTAAATTAAATTAAATTAAATTAAATTAAATTAAATTAAATTAAATTAAATAATTAAATCAGGTTAATTTATTTTTTTATTTAATTATCTTGACATAAAAGCACTATAATTTAATTTAATTAATTAAATTTAATTAAATTAAATTAAATTAAATTAAATTAAATTAAATTAAATTAAATTTAATTTAATTTAATTTAATTTAATTTAATTTAATTTAATTTAATTTAAGTTAATTTAATTGCCAAACAAGCTATTGCATTTGATTTAATTAAATCTATTTTAATTTAATTATCTTGCCATTAAAGCAATTTAATAATAAAAAAATATTTTGCCATAAAAGCTATTATATTTAAATAATTAAAGTACTTGTTTATGCACTGCGTGTACTGTAATTATACATACTTTAAAACTAGTGTTATTTCCACAGTTTTATAAATCACAAAACGCTAAGATGTTTTTAACCAGAGTCTAATTATGAATAGACAACACTTCAGTTTTGCTCCTTCTGTTGATTGAAACTATAAAAACAGTGGTTTTACTTAAATATTGCACTTCACAGATCATCTGAAGCCACATGTAGAGGGAACATTTGCAGAGATTTGTTTGGCTGCTCACATCTAAAGGCACTACCTCCTCATCTTCCAGTATCTCGGTTTTCTCCGGTGTCAAACACACACTAAGTGAGGCTAAAAGGACTCCAACCTCAACCTCAACCTATTTTGAAGCTCAGTTCTCCTGATTGGCTGTTTGGCACCTCTGCAGACGTACAGCTGGTCTTACCTCAGGCCTCTTCACCTGATGCTGTTGTGTTTTGAATTCTCACATCATGGCAGAGGAATGAAAGACATGGGAGTTTGATTTGTGTGTATGAATAGGGTGTAATGGTCAGAAATGGGCAGCCCTGCAGTACTGGAGTGTTTTTGTTGCTCTCGGCGTCCACAGCCCTCTTATCGTTTGGTCAAACCCTTTCAGCGCATCCAATGTCATCCAGAAATGCAGCTTCGTCCCCGTTTCTGTACGTACAACATGCTGTTTGACTGATGTGACCCATTTTTGAAACAGGACATTTAGGGTAACGCATGTTTGAGCAGGAGTGTAAAAAAAAAGAAAAAAAAAGATGCTCCTGCATATGTTTTGGGGTTGATCTAATATTAGTAAATTTGAGTGTTTCAGTTATTATCAGAAGTGCTTGGAAAACAATTGTACCCTGACAGGTGGATTTATTCTACTTGGATTGGTTTTACTTGGAAACATCAAGTTCCTCCCCACTGTCCAGCATTGATTTTAAGAATTTTATGTCCTGCCTGCAGCTGGAAAAGATCAGATTTTCACTTAAAAAACAACAAAAAATGTATTGTAACATGGAACCTTTTTATTACGTACTTAAACAGGAAAGCAGTAATTGAATCTTAGAAACACCCCAACCTCCCCCTTTATTCCCCTTGTTGTTCCCCATTCTCCTTCTGTATTTATTAATTTTCCTTTTCCCCAGTGTTAATTTTCCTGTTCCCCATGTACAGTGTAAATATGTTTTAATCTGTGGTTAAAAATACACATATGTAAACGTTTGTATTGGAATTTTTGTGCCAATGTAGAACATTTAATCAAGAATATAAAAAAAGAGAAGATTCTCAGATATGAAAGAAAAGATACTCTGATATGGCCAGGGTGCGAATTGCAGGGGAGTTTGGGTGGGATTGACCCCCCCTAATTAACTCTTGATCCACCTGAAGGACATCAACACAATATGTGTGGGGGTGTCAGCCTTTTAATAGTAAGAAATAGCTTTCTCTGATTTATATCTTAAATATTAATAATTAAAAATGTATAATATAAACATGCATTTGATCCTCCTATAATGGTTCATTCCACTGTGATGCATTCAAACTCGCCAATCGATGCTAGGAATAATATCATTCAACAGTCTGAAGCTGGCGTTTCTGGTGCACTGATAGACGTCTTAAGTGTTCACAAAACTAAAAAATAAAAAGTTTTTATAGCTGCATTTAGACTAAAACCAGAAAAAAAAAGTCACTAAGTATCCCTTAAAAACACTGAAAACGTATACATTTTATTAATACATTAGATGCAATTTAAATACATTAATAAATTTGATTCACCGAAGCATGTATTACCAAACTACTACTGAAAAACAATATCGATCGTCAATGTATAATTTGCACACTGGATATGGGGTGAAAATATTACTCCGTTAAAAATACAAAAGTTACAAACAACAAAAGTTTTGTAGCAAAAGTTAAAAACTTTTACATATTAACATTTTTTAGCTACATATTTTCACATATTTATACTGTGCATGGGGGAGAAAGGAAAAGAAAAAAATACAAAAAGATAAAGAGAAACAAAAAGAAATCAAAAGAAAATAATAATAAGATAACCTCAGTAAAAACCTTTTTTAGAGAAAAAATGCAGTTCCTCTAGATTAATTGGATTTAATAGTTAGTTTAAACAAAATTTTACAATTTGTTTTATTCTATGAAGGTCTGATCATATTTTTTTCCCCAAATTTTAAGTACAATTAATGTCATTTTGGTGCATTTATTATTATTTGTAATTATATTATATTATATTATATTATATTATATTATATTATATTATATTATATTATATTATATTATATTATATTATTTATTTATCAGTGGGTACAAATAAAAAAATTATTTTATTTAAAATTATTAATTTATAATTAATTATTTAATTATTTGTGGGGATTGGAAGATCAGGGTTATTCCATAATATCAATGCTAATTCTCTTATTTACTTTGCAACTGTTTTGTTACTTTGTGCACAAAAGTGATCTAAATGACAACATTTAATTTTTTTTTTTCAATATTTGCCGGAATATGTCATCAGAAGTTTATGAAGTGGGGAAAATATGATGCTTTACTTAAACATATTACTATAAATCATGAATTTAAGGAAACAATGACACACTGTCCTCTGTTATTTGTTGAAAATGACTTGGAACTGATTTCATGATTGAATTACTTCTGAACAGTGACGATCCTTGTTACTCCATCAGCATGAAAATGCTTCACAGTCTAATAGAATTTGTTGTCAAGAACCAATATTTCTTTGCCAGAATCATTTCCTGTACTTGATGTTTTTGATGTTCTGTTGTGCTTTCTCTTCTTAAACAATGTTTTATTTGTCTCTTTCAGTCCCTCGGGTGAACGGTCACCCGAAATCGGAGCGTCTGAATCGTGACTCGGCAGTAGTTTATGACAGTGCGTCTGTCATGAGCAGTGAACTGGAATCCAGCTCTTTTATTGACAGTGACGATGATGCCAGCAGGTCAGACACTCACTAACTTTTTTATTTCCCAGGAAGAATTAAATGAGCTCAGAGCGCAGTATTCATTTCCTCCTAAATGCTGACCGTCTTTATTTGAGGATGATTATTTTTTATATCAGGATGTTTTTCTCTTAGTCAGTTTGTAACGCTGGACAAAGTCAGCATTAGATCCTTGTTGGTTCATTTTAGGTATAATTTTTGCAGTTTTAGTTAAGTTTTATTTGATTAATATGTTTTTAGATTACAATTATAGAACTTCAGAAAATATTTATTAACAAAAGTTTTGTATTTCTGTTTAGTTTGAAACAATCTATGTAGTCTAAACGAAGTAATCTAAATGTATTCTCATTATTTTATAATCCGCAATCAATAATTACATTTGAATTATCTGTAATATCAGTAATTGTTACATCATGTTATTATTTTGATAATAAAATACTAAATATATATGAATTCCTTCATTCTTTTTGCTTCAGTTTAGTCCCTTTATTTATTAGGGGTTGCCACAGCGGAATGAACCATCAGCTTATCCAGCATTTGTTTTACATGGCAGATGCCCTTCCAGCTGCAACCCAGCACTGGGAAACATTCATTCACTCTCATTCACACACAGACACTACAGACTATTTAGTTTATTTAATTCCCCTATAGCACATGTCTTTGGACTGTGGGGAAACCAGAGCACCTGAAAGAAATGTACATCAACATGGGCAGAACATGCAAAATCAACACCAACTAGCCCAGCCAGGACTCGAACCAGCGATCTTCTTGCTGCTGTGTCGCCATATAAATAAATATATAAATATAAATATAAAACTTTATGGACTTAATTTTATTATTTTTTTTTTCAGTTGGTCTTCAAAAGAATATTTATATTTTGATGGATTTTGCTGTTTATTTGTTTTTGTTTTTTTTTACTTTAAATGTTTCTAGTACAGTTTTATTTTTATATATATTATCTGTAATTAATGACATTTTTGAGAGAAGATTTTCTGAGTAAGTGAAGAGAAAAATTGGTTCCCTGAGAGTTCATTGAGAACCTATTTAAGATAATTCGTGGCCACTAAAAGTATATAGACTTCAACAATTAATTAAAGGAGTTATTTTTAATTCTACAAAAAATGATGACATTATATTGTCTGAAATATCACATTAAGATTTGCTGTTAAATTGTGAGTGCTATGTATAGAGAGATGTAAACAATACCAACGGTCCTAATGTATTTTCTATTTTACATTTCTATAGCTTCTGAGAATCTAAAATGATCTACATCTTGATAAATAATGTCATGATAGCTGTTTTAACAGGAAGATATGATTGAATTGCCTCTTGTTACAGTTATGAAATAGTTTCCTAACAAGCAGGAAATGTTCAAGTACCAGTGAGATTACCACATTGAAATGGCCTTTAAAAATTTTTTATTATTAATAAATTAGTTAATTTTAAGTTATTTTAGTATTTAGCAGTGCCAAACAGTAGGGCTGTGTGATTAATAGAAATCGAATCACAATCATGATTTGAAACATTGCGATTAGCTAATTGCAAGAGGCTGCAATATAAATATATATATGCATTTTGTCATTACTCTCACCAAGAGCAAATGCGTGATTGCTGTCTGTGTGTGACAGTCTTTCTAGACTGTGAGCTTAAAGTGAGCACACTTTCGTTCTGTCCAATTAGAATTGCCTAACCAAACTATGAGGAACGCCCACAGTAAAACAAACAAACAGACTGGAAAGCATGAACAAGTGGGATGATGGTGTCTGCCGCTTCAGAAGCATTAATAGACAAATTACTATAAAAGAAAAACAGCATGTCGGTAGGCGAGGCAGTGGCGCAGTAGGTAGTGCTGTCGCCTCACAGCAAGAAGGTTGCTGGGTCACTGGTTCGAACCTCGGCTTAGTTGGTGTTTCTGTGTGGAGTTTGCATGTTCTCCCTGCCTTCGCGTGGGTTTCCTCCGGGTGCTCCGGTTTCCCCCACAGTCGAAAGACATGTGGTACAGGTGAATTGGGTAGGCTAAATTGTCCGTAGTGTATGAATGTGTGTGTAAATGTGAGTTTGGATGTTTCCCAGAGATGGGATGCGACTGGAAGGTTGAGCTGCGTAAAAACTTGCTGGATAAGTTGGCGGTTCATTCCACTGTTGCGACCCCGGATTAATAAAAGGATTAATCCGAGAAGAAAATGAATGAATGAGCATGTCGGTAATATGGGAATATTTTGGTTTTAAAGTCACAGACACCGAACAAAAACAGTTCATTTTTAAGAGCTGTCTCAGAATTATTGCCACAGCACAAGGAAATACAACAACCAGCACCTTAAAAAGCACATCAGGTAGCTCTATGTGGAGTATCTTGCTAAAAAGTCAACTAAAAGTATTGCCAGTGATAATCTAGTAGCTAGCAACAGCAAACTACAATTTCAGAGTTGTTTGCAGCTGTTACACCATTTGATAAAACATCATGAAGGCACTAGCAGATTACTAACACCACAACTCACTACTGTTTGCTTTAGATAAAAAATTGTGTTTAATTTCTAAATATTTATAAACAAATTTGAATAAAGTTCAAGTTTTCAATAAAGTTAGTTCATATCTTTTCAGTTCCTTTTTGCACCCACTGCATTTTAGCAGTAAGAAGCTATGATACAAAAATTAGAAGCTTGACCACAAAATTAAATCTGTAAAAAATAAAAATAAAAATTGCAATTAGATATTTTTCCTAAATCGCACATCCCTACCAGACAGATTCTTTTCTTTTATGCACAAAATTTTATAAAAAAATTGTGGAATTATTATGAGAGTATATGTTCTCAACATATAACACTGTAATATAACTTAACATTATTTTTTAAGTTTGCAATGCAAATCCAATTAGAACCACTTGTGTGGTAAACAAACCTACATTTCATATTTTCAAATAATATATCACTTAAAGAAATAAAATACAGTTGAAAGCAGAAGTTTACATACACTGTATAAAAAGGCACATAACCATTTAAAAAAGTCAGATGTTAATGTGGCTAAACTTTTTCTCTTTTAGGCAAGTTAGGTTTATCAAATTTGTTTCTGTTATGCTTTCTGTTATGCTTAATAGCAGAATAATGAGAGATACAGTTTTTGAGAAATTATTATAACTTTTCTTGAAAGTCAAGTTTACATATGCCTCTGGAAAAGCTCAGATGATGGTGTTTTGGATTGGCCTATTGACAACATTTGAGTTAATTGGAGGCACAACTGTAGAATAGTATTTAAGGAAAACCTCAAACACACTGCTTCCTTGTGTGACAACATGAAAAAAATCAACAAGCCAGAATGGACAACAACAACAAAAAATTTATTATAATTTGCTAAATTACACTGGGAAAAAGAATAATTTTTGAAGACATGTCCTGTGGTCTGATGGAACTAAGATTGAATGGTTTGGCCATAATGACCAGTGTTACATTTAGAGGACAAAGAGGAAAGCTTACAAGCCTAGGAACACCATCCCAACTGTGAGGTGTGGGGGCGGCAGCATCATGTTGTGGGGCTGTTTTACTGCAGGATCGACTGATCCACTTCACAGCATAGATGACCTCATGAAGAAAGAACATTATGTAGAAATACTGAAGCAACATCTCAAGACATCAGCCAGGAAATTAAAACTTGGCCACACATGGGTCTTCCAAACAGACCATGACCTTAAGCATACTGCCAAATTAGTTAAAATGTGCTTTACAGACAACAGAGTGATTGTTTTGTAGTGGCCATCACAAAGCCCTGAACTCAATCCTTTAGAAAATGTGTGGGCAGAGTTTGTGTGAGCTTGTGCGAGCAAGACAGCCTACAAATCTGACACAGTTACACCAATTCTGTCAGGATGAATGGGCCAAAAGTCCTTCAGACTATTGTGAGAAGCTTATGGAAGGATACTAAAAACATTTGACCAAAGTTATTTTATATTTAAAAAGCAAAGCTAAAAAAAAAACAAAAAACAAGGAAGTGTATGTAAACTTTTAACTGTCTAGGAATTAATTAAAAAATGCTCAAAAATAATTCTCTCATTATTCTGGCATTTAGCAAATTTCAAACTTCTGGTTTCAACTGTATACTATATATAAAACAGACACAAACATATTTGCATAAATAAGTAAATATATTAAATGATGGGTTCAAAAATCTGTGGAGTTTTATGGGTTTCTGCCAGTGCATATTTCACAGTCATAGCTTTTAGTAACTATTGCAGATTTTAGTAATATTTTTTTTTATAATTTTTTATCCGCTCCTTTCACCTTTCATTGCTAAAGTTTCTAATCGTTGTTAATTTAATATTATTTTGCTTTTGCAGTGTGAATGTCATAATCACATGCTGCTTCATTAGTGTAGGGTTGACCTCTAACCTCTGATTTGTGTCTGAAGTCACAGACTCAGCAGTTCAACAGGGCAGAGCTCTTTATCACGCTCGACGCGGATACACAAACTCAAACGACGGAGACCGAAAGACCACAAGATGAACAGAGTGAGAATGTAGAGAAAAACACACATATCCACAAACACGGTGCAAATTTGATCTGTGCTAATTACTTTTCATATGTTCTCTTGTCAGTCGTCATCCTTCAGTAGTATTACAGACTCCACCATGAGCCTCAACATCATCACTGTCACTCTAAACATGGGTAAGAACTCATTCACTTGCACATTTTCCATCATTTACTGTACCCACCACACCACAATCTTAAAACGTTTTTCAATTCTGAGTGTGCCTCACACAGTTGAGTGGGCTTCACAAGCCACCTGTGGAAAACATACTCTTTCATTTTTCTGACACTTTAACTGACACTTGCTTCAGTTTTAGACATTTGCACCAGACTCTTACTGTGCATTCACTCCGAAGGAGGCAAGAGCTTTGGCCGTCCTGGGAATAATGCTGTTTGCCTTCACAGTCTATGCATCAAAATTTACTACATTGATCTCATATTTAAAGGGGCCGTTGCCGTATATCAGCAAATAACTTACAGTGCATTTGTAAAGTATTCACATCGCTTCACTTTTTTAAAATTACAGCTTTATTCCAAAATGGATTAAATTAATTGATTTCCTTCAAATTCTAAACACAATACCCCATAATGACAATGTGAAAAAAAAGATTTTTTTGAAATTGTTGCAAATTTATTAAAAATAACCCGAAAAATCACATGTACATAAGTAGTTATAGCTTTTGCTCAATACTTTGTTTATGCACCTTTGGCAGCAATTACAGCCTCAAGTCTTTTTGAATATGATGCCAAAAGCTTGGGCACACCTGTCTTTGGGAGTTTTCGCCCATTCCTCTTTGCAGCACCTCTCAAGCTCTATCAGGTTGGATTGGAAGTGATGGTGTGCAGCCATTTTCAGATCTCTCCAGAGATGTTCAATAGGATTTAGGTCTGGGTTCTGGCTGGGCCACTCAAGGACATTCACCGAGTTGTTGTGATGCCACTCCATTGATATTTTGGCGGTGTGCTTTGGGTCAGTGTCTTGCTTGAAGATGAACCATCACCTCAGTCTGAGGTCAAGAGCACTCTGAAGCAGGTTTTCATTCAGGATGTCTCTGTACATTGCTGCATTCATCTTTCCCTCTATCCTGTCTAGTCGTCCTGTTCCTGCAGCTGAAAAACATTCCCACAGCATGATGCTGCCATCCCAATGCATCACTGTAGGGATGGTATTAGCCTGGTGATGAGCAATGCCTGGTTTTGTCCAAATGTAACGCCTGGCATTCACTCCAAGTTCAATTTTAGTCTCATCAGACCAGAGAATTTAGTTTCTTCCAGCTCTATTTAGAGTCCTGCTGGTCCCAAACATCTTCCGCTTACGGATGATGGAGGCCACTGTGCTCACTGGAACTTTCAGAGCATCAGAAATGTTTCTTTAATCTTCCCCAGCCTTGTGCCTCGAGACAATCCTGTCTCGGAGGTCTACTGACAATTCCTTTGTCTTCATGCTTGGTTTGTGCTTTGACATGCACTATCAACCCTTTAACCTTATTTAGACATTTCAAATCATTTACAATCAAGTGAATTTACCACCAGTGAACTCCAATTAAGCTGCTGAAACATCTCAATAATGATCAGTGGAAACAAAATGTACCTGAGCTCAATTTAGAGCTTCATGGCAAATACTGTGAATACTTGCGTACATGTGATATTTTTTCAGGTTCAAAAAATCTTTTTTCTCACATTGTCATTGGGTATTGTGTGTCGAATTTTGAATAAATAAATAAATTAATTTAATCCATTTTTCAATAAGGCTGTAACACAAAAAAATGTGGAAAAAGTGAAGCACTATGAATACTTTCCAGATGCACTGTACATTACCCCATTAAAACATGCTTTCTAGTGTGAAAATGTTGCGCCTTTTATCAAATTTATTACACTATGGAAGATCAAGTTGTTGTGGTGTGGCTTTGCTCCACTCATCATATATATCCATATGTCTGACTATTCTGAAGCAGCAATACTGTTTTGTACTGTCATTATAGTTAGCATGAGATTCCCGCTGTTTAAAAAAAACATATATAGCATTGATGCACATCAGTAACTCGCCTGTAACTTTTTTATTTATGGCCCTGTAAGAAAACATCGTAAATGAAAGGAAATCTGGCGACCACTATATTAAAACCCTTGGGAACAGCTGTGGTCAGAACCAAAGTTCACTTGACTGTGTTCTCTGGAATCATCTCAAGTGGTGGACTTCAACATTCTCATTACTTTCCACTGAACCACATCATAGTTCATTATCATAAAGTTGACTTGATTTCAACTCTCCTCGCCACCCACACTAGCGAAGACATGCCATGCTGCTCCTCACTGCTTATTGTGGCCGGCTCCCATTGAAAATGAATGACTTCCATCTACTTTAACGCTCTCGCTGCCTTCTGTGTGAACGCAGTTACAATTACTCCATATCTCAAAAAAAACATTGTGCATTTATGAAGTGTGCTTCACACAGGTGAGTGGCCTTGACAAACCATCTGTAGATACACTCTTCTCTCTATAAAAACAAAACAAACGCTACACCTATTAACTATAGCACTTAAATCTCTGAGCACTAACAGTTCCTGTGTATAACTAGCACTTCTTGTGTGTATTCTTGTTAAATCGCTGAATTCCTCCTCAATTATAAGTTGCTTTGGATGAAAGCGTCTGCTAAATGACTAAATGTAAATGTACTCCACCTGCTTAAAAAACAAACCAAGCCTTCACATCATTGAAAGCAGTCTTATCTGTCTTTGTCACAGAGAAGTACAACTTCCTGGGGATCAGTATAGTCGGTCAGAGTAATGACAGAGGAGATGGAGGTATTTATATTGGCTCCATCATGAAAGGCGGAGCGGTGGCGGCGGACGGGAGGATAGAGCCTGGAGACATGCTGTTACAGGTGAAGTCATCATCCTCTTTCAGCTGGAGACTGATCTAATGCACTTTCGGGATGATGAAAAACAATGAAAAGAAAAGCCTTTGAAATATTTGCCAGCATCTAGAAGGTCATTTAATGGTCATTTCAATTATATTATATTATATTATATTATATTATATTATATTATATTATATTATATTATATTATATTATATTATATTATATTATATTATATTATATTATATTATATTATATTATAGCAACAACAATAATAGTATGTAATAATAATAACATTATGTAAAATTAAAAATTGTAAAGTAACTTACATGATGATAAGTTACTACTATAATGATACTACTACTACTATACTACTAATAATAACAATGATAATAATGAGAACAATAATAATAATAGACTGATAGTAAAATATGTATTGTTCTTCTTCTTCTTCTTTTTCTTCTTCTTCTTATTATTCTTCTTCTTCTTATTATTATTATTATTAATATTATTATACCTTTATATTTTTAAGTACAAAAATAAGGAAATCAGTAAATTATCAATGTAATAATACTGAATTGCTAAATATTTTTATTTACCATAGCATTTAAGTTAAATAATTATTTTTTTCTACAAAGTAATTATGTTGAATACATTGTAATACTAATTAAACTGTAATACTAACTAACTATTATGTAATACTAACTAAAGAGTAACCAAAGTATTTAAGTTGGATACATTTTCTCAAATCACTGTCCATTGGCAGAACTTTAATGTCGTCCAAAATCTTTAAAACAGAAGCAGATATTATTCTGAAAATATGGACACTCTCCATATTGGATGAGATCATAGAAAAAGTAAACAGAATCGGCTCACTACAACTTTAGCTCTCAAAATACAATTGAACTGTCTAATTTGCCAATTAAAAAGTCTTTTGAGAGCTAATGTGGCAGTGTGCTGATTCTTTTTACTTTTTCTATTTCACCTGGCTTGATTAAGCATCTGTTTTTCTTAGATGTGCGCACACTCATGTCTTTTATCATCTTGTGGATATTATATTTAACACTAAGCACAAAACAGAACTGAAACTGGCCTGCTTTTGTAAATCTCAGTTCTTCCCAGTTTCTAAATGCACTTGTGGGATTGTGATGACTTATTCACTGTGTTGTGTTGCTGTTCTTATTTGTTATTATTGTGCTTCACTTCCTTTCCTTCCTGACAGGGTCTGACAGTCATGTCTGGTGTCTCTGACCACAGGGGTGCTTTCAACTCTGTTTGTCATCTATTTACATAGCAAAGGGTTTTTCCTTAGCTTTCTGACCTCAGCTTCTTTACAAAAAAGTAATGCTTAAATGAGCCTGTGTTGTTAGGTGGATTTTGCTGGTGTCATATGTAAACAAGCACCATACAGCTTTGCCACCTGTTTTTATTTCTTGGTAAGAAGGTAATCTTGACTAAAAATGAAAGTTAAGTCATTTTTAGTCACCCTTTGAGTCAATAATTTTTTATAATAAAAATGTCCTGGTCACCCTTTGTCATGCCGTTACAGTGAATAGGCAGAATAAGCTACATACATTCAACTAGAGCATTATTTCTATGTAATACATCGTTTTGCTTTAATTATTTAATTGTTTTTTCATGATGAATCATTTACAAACCAAACATTATAATTAATTGGTCCCTTTTTTTATATACTTTTACACACTTTTATGTCATTTTTGAGTTGTTTTTATTTGAAAAAAACAAAACCAAAAAAATTATTTAATTGAATTGAACTTCTTCACTATAGAACTCCTTGTTGAGTGGAAAGGTTTCATACAGTACATGTTAAAGGTTCTTCACAGAACCATTTAGCCTTTATTTTTAGGGCTCTATGTTAACGATCTAGGCGCAAAGTCTAAAGCGCAGGGTGCAAAAGCATTAGGGCATGTCCGAATCCACATTTGCTATTTAAAGGATGGAAAAATAAGTTTTGCGTCACAGCGCATGGTCTAACTGGGTTGTACTTATTCTCTTTATGAGTTCTGGTTTTGAGAATAACGTGCATTAAACCAATCAGAGAATCATCTCCCATTCCCTTTAAAAGTCAGTTGCGATGTGCCATAGCGCATTTACTATTTACATGGCAAACTTTGTAAGTGGAAAAGTTGTTCGCACTCCGCTGAAGACATCCATAAGCCTACATACTTAATTACGTTTGTTAACCACGAATTTAGATAATCTAAATTTAGTTAGAATTTTCAGCAAATGAATAAATGAACAATAATAACAAAGTGTGGTCAAAAAGCTGAGTTATATCTAAACACACTAAACACACGTCCTATTCGTATGCCCCATATTGTTCAAAACCAGACAGGTGGACAAATCTAAACTTGTTTTTATTAAAACAAATATAAATACATGCCTACTTTCTAGACCAGCACACCCATGACTCCACAAAGTAGCGCAAATGGATTGGCTATTTAAACAATGTGGTGCAAAATATGAAAATTATTGTTGCGCTGGTCTGAAAATAGCAAAAATCACGCCAAACATGTCTTGCGTCTTTTTATGCCAGGTGTATGATAGTGCCCTTAGTGTGTAAGGCTCTTACATGCTGGCATGATTATCACTGACTATTATGACCAATATTTAGCAACTTGTGATTAAACAAAGGGTGCCAATGTGAGTGTTCACATTGACACACAAAATGCAAGGCATTAAAAAAAATGCCTCTGGCTCAATTTTTTTCAAGTAGGTATCACTGCAGCCTGGAGACCTTCAAGTGGGAGGGATTACACCGCAAGTAGGCTGGGTTTAGTGTTGGGGGATTAGACAATTATGAAACACAACAGGTTACTGTGAGGTTGGGTTTAGGGTTGGGGTAGGTATAGACATTCATAAATTACAATAGGTTACTGTGAGGTTGGATTTAGGGTTGGGTTAGGTGTCAACATTCATTAAACACAATAGGTTGGACTGTATGTCACATAAAAGACATTAATGAAATGAAAACTCCAGGAGGTTTGTACAGCTCACTCGGAGCTTAAGTTCCACATACTTAGAGCCGACCAGCCCATTTGGAGCTGGCTTTGACCTCTATTTATACCCTTTTCTAATTTTTTGCATTAAAAACTGGACGACCAATGAGATTGCTGCTTTTGTTTTAATGCTTTGAGCTGCTGAAATGAGATGGGTGGAACATGTCAGATAATTAATAGGCTTCTCCTAGAGGCCTTCTTGCAGATATTTATCTAAAAGATTACTTAATGTGAACTCGTGAACTTAAATTTAAAGGTTAAACAGAAGGGAAAACCCTGACTGTGACAACTTCTGTGCAACAAGCGAGTGTCAGAAGTGTTTTTTGGAGTGCTATCTTGTGTACCAGGGTATTTCTGTTTTTTCATAAAGTACTATCTAATTTCAGGGAGTGATTCTGCATTTTCACCTGCTCACCACAAATGAAAGTTGCTTATGCAGCCTTTACTTTCACTCTAACACTTCCTCATGATTCCCATTGACAACAGTCGCTTTTAAAGACTCATTAATCAATTTATAAAGTCTTTGAGAATAATAGATTTGATTTAGGTTATACACTGTAGTAGATTGGATACATAAAGATGCACATTTAATGGAAGCATGTTTTTTTTAGGTGAATGAAGTGAACTTCGAAAACATGAGTAATGATGATGCTGTCAGGATTCTGCGAGAGATCGTCTCCAAACCTGGGTAAGAAATATTGCTATATCTCAATAGCATAATAATAAGTAAATCAAAATGTCAAAATGCATTACTTCATGTATAAATTCCACTTTGCAGGCCAATAAGCCTTACAGTGGCCAAATGTTGGGACCCCTCTCCGAGAAGCTACTTCACAATCCCTAGAGGTACTGAATTCTAGACATAAAAAAACAGGCTGCAATCATAGTTCATGTCTGATTTCTGATTGTCTACATTTGTGTTTCAGCCGAGCCAGTGAGACCTATTGATCCTGCAGCCTGGATCACACACACTACAGCACTTTCTGGGCCATACCCACATTATGGTATGATCCTATTGGTAACATCCCATAAGAGGTCTTCTGTTGGTAGAATGGAAGATTTATTGTATTGTTTCTCCTTTACTTTACAGAGTTTGATGACCTTCCGCTTTCGGTGTCTAAAACAGACATGGCAACTATAGTGAAGGTCATGCAGCTTCCAGATTCAGGCTTGGAGATCAGAGACCGAATGTGGTTGAAGATCACTATAGCCAATGCTGTTATTGGTTCGTGCTTTTTGTTTAGTTTTTTTACTGTTGTTTGGAGGGGATGGGATTGTGGTGACTTTAGTGTTGGTGGTTGTCATAAGCATCAAGTTGATCCTTGATGTTGTGTTTAAGGAAAAACACTGCAGGGCAGTGGGGAAACAATATACAGTATATAGTTATAATCATACTTCCCTAGTTTATTGATTACATTAAGAATTGAATGACATGGTTTCTAATATGATTTATTTAATTATGAAAAGGAGGCATTACTTTTATTATTATTTATAATTTTAAAATGCATTAGATTGGAAACACATTTCTTGCACAAAAAAATCTAAACCTAAGATTTAAAAGATCAGATTTCTGATCTAAAAGTCAGTTTCCAAATACATGTAATTTTTACAAAGTGGACTTTTGTATTTTTTATCACGCCATAACTCAGAAAACTGCCCAAACAAACAAATAAATAAATACATACAAACAACCTTGATAAATGAATGGATGAATGCAATCACCTTTTTTTGTAGAATTAAATATTACTAATATTGTAATATTATTGTTTATATTCAGTCAAATTATGTCCATAATTTGTTTTATGAAGTTTTATGACAGAAGAAACGGTATTTTTCGGAATAAAGTATTGTAATAAAGGTATATTATAGCCCCAAACTGGCAAACTATATAAAGGGAAACTCTTAAATGTGTATTTTGGCTTTTTTTGTATATACTGTAAGTTAGACTTAAATAATCTTATAATGAACAGCCAAAAATTCCAAAAAGTTTGCCTTATAGGGATAGTTGACCCAAAAATGCAAATGTACTTACTATCCACTCGTCTTCAAGTGTTTTCAAACCTTAAAGAGTTTTTTAAACCTGATGAACACCAAAAAGATTGTTTATAACTGTAGCCATTGACTTCCATTGTAGAAAGAACAAATACTTTAGAAGTGAGTGGTTACAGTTTTCCAGCTTTCTTCTTTTGTGTTTAATCAGGTTTATAGGGTGAGTCAATGATGGCAGAATTTTTAGTTTTGGCTAAACAGTATATATATTTAAAACTGGGTAATTGTGTTATATTTCTCACTGCACATGCTTTGTGTTTCAGGAGCGGATGTTGTTGACTGGTTGTTTTCTCGGGTGGAAGGATTTAAGGATCGCAGGGATGCTAGAAAATACGCCAGCAGTTTATTGAAGCACGGTTACCTGAGGCACACAGTCAATAAAATCACCTTCTCGGAGCAGTGCTACTACACTTTTGGAGATCTGTGTCAAAGTAAAGTCAGCACACACTTGAGTTGGACATAACACAACCATTCAGAACATTGGAGTCAGTTTTATTAGGTCTTACATGCTCACCAAAGCTATTTTTATTTGGTCAGAAATAAAAACGCTTATAATTTCAAATCTTATTTCAATTTAAATGAACTGAAACTTAACATTTTTGTTTCTCAATTCTCACTTTTTCCCCTCAGAATTGCGAGTTTGTAGCTTTCAATTTTAAGTTTTAAATTGTTTTAATTTTAACGAAAAATAAAGAATAAAATTAGGCCAAATGAATTCAAACACCTAAAATTTCATCTACAATTAAAATTTAAAGATTAATTTTCATTTAATTGTGTAGATTCATTAATTTAATTTGATGGCAAAGGATAGATTATTTTCATTGCCCTTAAAGTGAAATAACTGAACATAAACATAGGAAGCTGCATGTTTTATTTTAGATTATTTGATGAAGGGAAATGTTTATGTGAATAAGAACATTTTAAGTTAACAATAAACAAACTACTGACTCCAAACTTAATTATTTTCTTTAAATAAATAATACATAAATAATTTGCGTTTGCAAATAATTAAATTTCACGATTCTTGCTCTCTTTACTTCAGAATTGTAAGTCACAATATTAGGTTATATTTACTGAAATTCAAGAAGTCAGAGTTGGAAAAACATATAGGGTGTCCGCGGAGTCTTAAAAAGTCTAAAAAAAAGTCTTACATTTTTAAATCTAAATTTAGGCCTTAAAAAGTCTACAATTCACTGAAATATTGTGTTGTAGGTCTTAAATCATTTTAAATTTACATAATTTACTTAATTTACATCCACGTAAAGCAACACAATCGTGCTGACACACAACACATGTTTTTTGTATATTTAAGTTTTTTATTGCGAAGAAATGCAAATCAAAACAGCTGTTAAGACATGTTTAAAGGAAATTCTGCAAATTAAATGGCTTAATCGGGGAAAGACAATTACGCAACACACCGCTTTACATAACCTTCCATTAATACAAAAACTATTTATGGCCAAAAATCCTTAATGTTTAGCCATGTTTAAGTCTAAATTTCTTTCATAATGGTCTTTAAAAAGTCTTAGATTTGAAGAAACCTGCAGAAACCGACTTAAATAAAATCTAATAAAATAGAAAGATCTCCATAAAAATCTTTAAAAAATAGTTCTTGTTACATTTCATCATTTTTACGTTGGTCTCCAAATTACAAGTTTATACATCACAATTTTTGAATTGTCTTCAACCATACTGTTTTACAAGAAAAATAGAATACACATTTTAAGATGATGTTGCAATTACCTTTATATTGTTTTATCTCATATATATACATATATAATGCAATTGAAACGCTTTTGTTTTCAGACATGGCTTCTCTCAATCTGAATGAGGGATCCAGTGGTGGTGGCTCTGACCAGGATGGTCTCGCTCCTCTTCCTCCTCCAGGAACAAACCCATGGCCCCTTGGTGGGCAGCCTTACCCATACCCGGGTTACCCCACCCCTCCGCCAGGCTTTCCTCCGGGATATTCAGATCCCTGCCACAGTTTTCACAGCGGGAGCGCAGGCAGCCAGCAGAGTGAAGGTACAGTAAATCTGTGTATGTGTGTGTGTGGGGGGTCTTCTTTTTATATTGCAGTGGGGACTAAAACTTGAATGAGGAATTGTTATCTTGCAAACTTAAGTTGAGATTCATTTGGATAAACATGCTGGTAAAACACATTTAACTGGACTGTCATGCTTTCCAGAAGACTTTTTTTAAGGAAATGAACTCTCTAAAGGACATTTTAAGCTAAGTGACACCAGGAAAAATGTTAGAATTTTAATCATGTTTTATCGCTAAAAACCGTATTTAATTTACGTATTTATTTGTTTGTTGATTTTTAATTATATATTTATGATTGAAATGTTCTTGTCATGAAAATAACGGTTGCTAACTTGACATTAAATAAACAAAATACTTCACATTAAGCATGCTCATAAATCACACCAAATGAAATATTTTGAAAAGGGAAAAATGCTCAATGTTTTCTGTGAGGATTGGTTTTAGGTGTGGTATTGGGGGAGAGAACACACAGTCTGTAAAGTATAACCATCATTTTGTTTATAGGAAGTCCCCACAAGGATGGCAAGTGTGTGTGTTTTTGTTTGAGTTTTGAACATTCAAAATGAGGAACACATACATTTTGGTCCGTCCTCACTTTCCGACGCCCTTTTAAAGTGTCAAGAAATGTTCCTATTTCAGCTGTGTTTTTTTTCACACCTCCACCTGTGATAAGAGTGTGGAAAGAGGTTTGCATAAAAAAGAGATTTTCATAAACAAGACAAAAACTCATCAGCAATGTAAACACACACTGGTTAAGTCAACAGCAGCAGTTATTATTGATTATTAATGGTTATCATATTTGTGGAGGCTAAAATAAAAGTGAACTGGAACTAGGGTTATTACTTTATTAAACTTTTTTGTTGCTATTTTTTGTTGAAACATTTATCACGATAAATCATGATATTGACCTAAGCTGCAAAAAAAGGTTCCTTTAAAGGGGTGGTCCACTACGATATATTTCAAACTTTAGTTGATGTGTAATGTGGCTAAGTGAACATAAACAACATCTCTGAATGTAACACGCTCTAAGTTCAATGCAAAGGGAGACATTGGTGTGGCCTAAGGCGGTGTAATGCTGTGATGTTATAGCAGAGAAAGCTAAAATGCCGTCCAAACACTGCTTTTCCACAGAGCTTGTTCTGTTTCTGTATTTGGGGTTCCAAAGGACACTACACATAGAGAGAAGTGCTTACAGTTGAATTTAATTATGTTCGAGAGAATTCCTAAAAAAATATATAGCTAGCAATTGACAAAGGAAAACTTCCAGAATCTCTCCCAGGATTCGGCTAAAACTCCTCCAACCGACAAAGCTGTGGATTGTGAGCCACAACCTGAAAGTATTTTTGTTTATTAAAATAGATCAATTACATACAATGTTTCTAGCATTAGCGGTATGTTGTAGTGAGAAGGTAAACAAGGATGTAAACAACGGCAAATGCTGTTTGGTACCGCTAACAGTTTAGCAGTTCATCTGTCAAACTGCTTTTAACACTCACAATCACTTTCAGTGTCTCTTTATGTTGTTGCTTTCCCTGCGTTCTACATCTAAAATAACAAACTCGCAAAAGATATGAGAACATTTCATATTACGTACACATGCTTATTCCGAATAAATGTGAAAGACGCTTGTCAGATTTTATATTAGAGAGTAGGCATGAGGTTCAGCTGTGTGCTCTTCATTTATCTACATTTAGAAATATGACAGTTGTTTTTATGTTGGCTGAGTAGCTGTATATAATTAAGGTATATGAAAAAATAAAATCTTATAAACATAACCAAGCCTTAAAAATACACTGTTGAACACCCCTTTAACAGGTCTAATAACAAAAAAAAAAAAAAACTTATTTTATTTGTTCAGATGAAAACATAATAAACAAAATTAAATTGCAGTGGATCATAAAGTAGCACTAAAATCTCATTAGTAAATGTTACTTTATTTCCTTCAGTATTTCATATTCATTTAGCAGATCAAACTCTCTGGTTAAAAAAAATGCTTGTTATAAATGTAATTTCTACACAAGTAAGTCATTGCTAGTACAATTTCCACACACGTTAGTACTTAGAAAAGAAGAATCTACAAGATCTTTCTCACAATGTTGATAGTAAAGGTCAACAGATGACATTACACCTCATTCATTTCAGTGCGCTTTCTCATGAATGAATTTAGAGAAATGATCAATGTCAGATGACGTATGCATATTTTCCATTCGCCTTGAGTTGATCACCATCAATGCTGATTAACTCAAGCATCATATTTTGTGAAGTATCTTCAACTTTGCTCTTCAAACCAGACGAACAAATTTGGTTACAAGTAACTATAAATAACAAATTTTCACTTGCTAAAAATAACTCCTTTTCAGCAGTGTGCCTTTATCTTTGAATGTTTACATGTATGTGAAAGAGTACTCTGATAAATAAAAGGGAAAACCCCCCGAAGCTTAATTCCGCAGTCATGATCCCTTGAGCTTCCTCTGTGTCTTTTTCTTTTACTTTCAAATATGAAGTAACACTAAACACAGTGACCTGTTCAATTGTTTACTGTGTGAAAGGTACTTTAAGAGATGGAATTTGTTAGAGTAAAAAGGAAACTATTAGTGGGTTTATTGTAAGTCTGTGTGTAGGATTACGATATAATACTACAGTACGAGTTTTGCTTTCAGTAACCTAATGAACAAGGCAACCTGCCAGAATGACATCAGCGGCACAATTCTTGTAAACTATATAAATATATTTTCATACAGAGGGTTGATTGTTACGCTTTTCAATTTCGACCCTTTATTTGGAAAATGTTTAAGATAAAGATATTAAAAATAACGATTTAACCTACAGTTGTTAATCATGTAACCTTGCATGTTTACAAAGCAAACAAATACTGATTCATTGCAAACTTTCTTAAATCGAAATCAAAACACAGTCATAAATTTGAAATATTTTTGGTTCAAGGGCATTTAGTTCTGATGACAGACTAAATATAGATGCATGGCATGCAATGCAAAGTTGAGATGGAAATGATATGCAAATTAAAACACCTAAAGATGCATTAGATTAAATAAAAGTCTGTTTAGTTTGTTTGATTAGACTTTATTAATCCCAAAGGGAAATTCACGTTTCAGCAGAGCTCTCCATACTATACAATAAATCAAATAAATTACATACCGTACATAAAAAGACAATAATATTAACCTCCTATACTCTGCGCACCTGGTACCAGGTCCGTGACATCATTTAACTCTGCATTCTTTAGATTTTAAAGGTCCGGACTGGTCCAATACCCCCATAAGTTGTTCCGTTCTCTCATCAATTGGAATAGAATAACATTTGCATAGATTATGATTGAGAGATATTTCTTTGTTCTGATTACTGAGATGTGCAGGAACCACCCAAATTAATTACAGCAACCTAGACCCCACACAAGCTAAAAGGTACACTTTCAAATTTGAGTTTTATGGAGGGGTTTATTATATAACACAGACAATAAATACAATTATTTTAATCACTTTCAACAGTGTTTTATGAAAATTCAAAGGGTTTTCTTTAGAATGTTACCAAACTTTTGCATCAACACTACTGCATGTGGATTTGGGAAGCTTTTAAATTTAGGTTTGCAAAATCCAGATGGAAACCCCAAAATAGCACTTGACTTTTGGAGGTTAATAAAATTACATTCATACTACAAACCCTAGTTACAAACAACCAGTGTTGGAAAGAGTACTGAAAAATCATACTCAAGTAAAAGAACCATTACTTGCCGAAAAATGCAGTGCAGGTAGAGTAAAAAGCATCCTTTCAAAAGTACTACAAAAGTAGTATTACGCTGTTAAAAGCAGATGCGTTTACATGTCATTTGTGGATCTGTGTAAACGTAACATTCTGTAGTGCATTTAGTTATTGCCCAGCAGGCACACAACCTCATAAGTCGTTAATATTAGGTTAGATTTAGGTTGTGTCGTCAGGTGACCAAAATTCAACGTCTAGCCAGCATCTAAGGATAATGTTATTTTAATGTCCAATAATGATGTGATATTTGGTTGATTTTGTGATGGAAAGTGACCAAAATCCAACGTCAACCCAACATCATATTGACGTCAAATACTGAGATTTATTCGTCAGGTATAGCAACCAAAATCCAACGTCTCATAGACAAGAAAAAAACAAAGTAGTGACTGCAGGTTCAAGAAAAGTATTGGAGTAAAAGTACAGATACAGCACTAAAAATGTACTCAAGGGAAAGTTCATAAATCTACTCCGTAAATTACAATTCCTGAGAAAAACTACTGTATTAATTTGAGTATCTGTAATTAGTTACTTTACACCACTGTAAGCAACAAGTAGACATTAGTATATATCCACAATATTAATGCTATTACAATTCAGCTGACTTTATCTAGTATGACTTTGGTTATACAATCTGATAACTGTTGGAAAAAATTATTTTCTGTATCGTCCATTGTAAGACCGGGGCTGAATTAATACTAGATGGATAAGATAAGATATGGACTAGTGTATACTTGTTGTTTGAAACTAAGGTGTGCAGTACTGAGGTTTAGTAACAGTTGCCATATAGCTTGTGATTTATGGGTATTTTCTGTGTATTTATTGGGGATGCGAAGATCGATATCGGCCGATAACCACATTTTATCACTCGATCGGTATCATTCTGGCCAAACTCATGAATCGATCACAGGTGTTTGTTTAGGAGTTTACAAGCAGAGGAAGCCGCACTTGTGCTCTCGTATATTATGCAGAGCCTACAACAGCCACAACACGTGAGAAGGTAAATGATATGTGGAGGCAAAATGATTACATTTGTTAGCCCCTTTAAGCTATATATTTTTCTGATAGTCTACAGAACAAAACATTGTTAAACAATAACTTGCCTAATTACCCTAACCTGCCTAGTTAGTCTAATTAACCTAGTTAAGCCTTTAAATATCGAGTAAAATATTATTTACTGTCATCATGGCAAGGATAAAAGAAAT